GAAAGAAGGAAGAAGGAAGAAGGAAGAAGGAAGAAGAAAGAAGAAAGAAGAAAGAAGAAAGAAGCAGCAGCAGCAGCAGCAGCAGCAGCCTAGTCCAGTTGCTTATGAACATGGAGCCTGGAATTCATGAAGGCAGTGAACAGTGAGCCGGCAAAGACCTCAGGCAGAATACACCTTGAGCCCTGGCCTGTTCGGCTCAGCGGTTAGAGTGCTGGCCCATGCAGCAAAGGGTCTTGGGTTCGATTCCCAGTCAAGGACATATGCCTGGGTTGCAGGTCCCATCCCCTGGTCAGGGCGTGTGCGGAAGGCTGATGGATGTGTCTCTCTCACATAGATGTTTCTTTCTCTTTCTCCCTCTTCCCCCCACCTCCTTCCCTTCCTCTCTCTCTAGAATTCAGTGGAAGTAAATATCCTCGGGTGAGGATTTAAAAAAAAAAAGCTAAAACATAAACATGATACAAAACAATCAGAAGGACAAATGGGTATACAGGGAAGAGTAAGTCTCCCTGTCATACCACTGCCCTCCCCACAAGACCCCTCACCCCCAGCACCTCACCCTGAGATGGTCTACATGCACACACGCACCGAAGCACTGCTCTGCCTTTTAAAAAAGTTATTATTGATTGATTTCAGAGAGAGAGGAAGGGGGAGGGAGGGAGAAACATTAACTTGTTGTTCCACTTATTTACGCATTCATTGGTTGCTTCTTGTATATGCTCTGACCAGGGATAGTACCTGCAACCTTGGCATCTTGGGATGACACTCTAACCAACTGTGTTACACAGCCAGGGCAGCACTGTTCTGCTTTTATCTCGAGGAAGGCACCATCATTTTTTAAATGTCCCACCACTCTAAGTCTCTAGGGGCACAAGAAAGTACCATCCTTTTATTCCTAGACTCACTTACTGAAGAGGTAAACAGGGAGAAGAAATCCTCCCAATACGATTGCCGGTAAGTTTCATTTCTTTTTTATCTTATGTAGGTTCCGCTCCGGAAACCGAAGACACATGAAAAGCAGGGTTGATGTCAATCATCATAAATACCATTTCACTGAAATCTTCACTTTGCCATAAACTCTGGCTATAGATACAGAATGCTATACAATCAATGCTCACGTTTCAGAGATCAGATACTAAAGAAGTCCCATTGAGAATATTTTCACTGAAATACAAGGGTCTTGAAATGCACATAAAAGCAAGTCAGAACTGGCCGCCCACTTCCCGAGCGATTCGCCAGAACACAGTGTAATGCTGCGTCACCTGTCCTCAGTCCGCACTGGTTCCCCATCCTCCTGTCATTCCCACACAAGTCCCGAAAAGACCAGGCCTGGGGGGAAAGTGAATGTTTTCAAAGGAAATCTTGAGGATATTCAAAAAAGCCTGGAGAGAGGGCTAAACTGGGTGCCTCACCAGGACAGTCAGAGAGAGATGGGGTCTCAAGGTAAGAGACAGAAGGCTGGCAGGCCTTGAGCTGGTAACTGTGGAAGGGGACCACAGTGTCCGTTGGGGCTGGCGATAACAAGACTAAAGAAACTCACCGGGTAACCTAAAATGGAAAAACTAAGGAGCCCAGTGAGTATATGTAGGAAGCTCTCGGTAGGGCAGTTTGTCTGGAAAATGGACAAAACTAGTATATAACGGCTGAGCTTTAGGCCAGAAGCCCACAGATGGATGAAAATGTGTGGGGTTCAGAGCAGATTTTCTCCTATTGGTCAATGGCAGTAGAGGGGTGTGGGGGTACTGGAAACACATGCATCTATTACAAGCATCCGAGTATATTTTTTGCTTCTTATCTTGTGGAATTTATTCTTGCAATTTCAAAGACATCCTAAATACTTCCTAAACCGAGGTACGGCAAATCATGGTGCCTGTTTGACCATCTTCATAAAATTTTATCACATCTAACTCTCACTGCAAAGGGACTGATTTTTCAGGCATCTTTTTCACTTAGTGAACTTTTATTTAATGAACTTTTGGATGATATGATTATAGGATGAAAAACATCTGAAACACTAGCAGCAAATTAAACCTAATAGTCATCAAATAGCTTGTAAAGTCCCAGTGCATATGAAGAACAGTACAGTTTACAAGCTATTGGCAAAAGAAGCTGGCTCCTTCTGCTTGCCAGCCAAAGGCACGGCCACATGCCAGCTGCATAAATGTAGTTTGTAATTCACTTAGCTGACCAGATTTAAAATTATGCAATTCTAAAGCTAATATTCTTTCACTTTATGTATTTCTGAAGTGTAACTGACATTCAACATTGTATTAGTTTCAGGTGTACAACATAATGATCTGATATTTACAAACACTGTGAAATAATCACCACCATCAGTCTAGTTAACATCCGTCACCATACAGTTACAGAATCCTTTTTCTTGTGGTAAGAACTTTTAAGATCTACTCTCTTAGAGATGTTCAACTATCCAATATAATATTATGAACTATAGGCACCATGCTGTATATTACTTCCTCAGGCTTTATTTATTTTATGATTGGAAGATTGTGCATTTTGACTCACTTTACCCATTTTGCCCACTCCCCACCCCCCGCCTCTGGCAACTACCAACCTATTCTCTGTATGTATGAGCTGAAACTAATTTTCTTGTTTGGGGAGGTCACAGTACTGCCATTATTTTTATATAAGGAGAGGCTCTGTTCCTACTCTTATATCACATTATCTTATTTAAATACTTTATATTTATATCACAGGAAATCGTATCACATTCATTAGCATGTGTCTTCATTTATTTTTTAGTAGGGATTTCACATAGAAAACCATGCTTTGCCTTCCTTCTTTTCTGTCCAAATCCTAACTATCTATGCCACTTTTCTCTCCGACGCCCTCATCCAGTCTCATCACTTTAAATACCATCTACACTTGGATGACTCCCAAAGGCACCATTTTCCAGCCCTACGCAACTCTGCATCTCTCCAAGAGTATCAGGTGGGTATCTCAAATGTAACAGATCACAAACAAAACTCTTAGGGTCCCCCCAAACCTCCCTCTTCATTCCCCATCTCAGTAAACAGCAACCCCAAACACCAATTCTTCTTGCTCACACCCACACCAACCTAGCAGGCTCTCCCTTTGCTGTATCCTGACCTTCACCACTTCACATCATTCTGTAACCACCACACTAACTAAGCCATGCCTGGACCACGAGAAAGGCCTCTTGGAAGCTATACTGATTCTATTCTTACCCCCAAAGTCTGTTCTCCACTCAGGACCGAGAAAAATCACTTGAAAGCATAAAGAGGATCACATCACTATATTCCTCAAACCTCTCCAGTGGTATCCAATTATGTTTAGAGTAGAATCCAGCTCTTTATCATGCCTACAAGATCTGGCTCCCACCTACCACTGATCTCATTTCATATCGCTCTCCCTCCCCATAACCACCCCAGCTCAAGGCCAGCCAAACTGGCTGCCTTCCTAGCCCTCCATCATGCCAAGCTCCGCCATCATCAAAGGCCCTTCTTTTAGCTCGTTGTTCCCTCTGCCTAACCACTTCTCCCCAGATTCCTTCGCTCCATTCAGATCTCTGCACAGAATCTCCCCCTCGTTCTCCCTGCCCCCACCCCACAGGAGCCTTTCCAGATCACTCTCTGTAGAGCCCCATCCAGTCCCTCGCTTTGTTTTCATTTTTACACCACTTACGACTACCTGAAATTATGTTATCTATTTAGTTATTTACTTCATTCACAAAACAGTATGTAGTGAGCACCCATCATGAGCAAGGTGCTCGGTCACCCCCACCAGATCTAAGCTCCGGGGAAACATGGACACATCTGTCTGGTGACCACTGAACCTCTAGTGCCCAGAGGACTGCCTTGGCACATAGTGGGCATCAGTACACATTTGCTGAATGGGTCAAGCGTGCCACCCGCTGAGGCCATCTCCTTCCCTGGGGACTCCCACCACAGAGCTCTTCCTGTCTACCAGATAGGACTCCAGTTATGGGACACAGAATGTCCACCACGTCCCTTCAGACATAGTCATCTGGACAATCAGCGTTTCAAGCCTGAGACGGGTCCCTAGCCCTGGGCCTGTCTGTCTTGACTGACTGCCCTTCCCTCCCGCTCCAGCGCCCAGCACCCTGCGAGTTCCCCACACGGCCGCGCCACTGGGATTTGTCCCGTAGGGACACGGGAGCACCTGGTCCACGTGGTGGGAGCTGACCAGGCAGTCTGTGTCAAACAAGCCATCTTTTCTCAAAAGAGAGTGTCTGAAATCCAGGTGCACGGGTCAGACCGCCTCCCTGGCTCATGGTGGTCCTGCCCCCAGGGCCCACGAGACCTTCAGCGTCAGCCGGCTGGCAGGCCTCGGCGCGTTCTCAGCTCGCTTCTGGAAACACGACTGTTAAGGACATATCTTTGCCTCTTTCAACTGCCACGGAGGTAAAATGTTTACCTGTCGTGATGAGTAAATACGTTTCTTTCCAAAATGGAAGATCATTTGTTAACTGTGAAATTATCCGATCACAAATAAAAATAAAGGTAACTATGAAATGTAATTAAGTCATCTTTCAAAAAAACCCCAGCAGCTGTAGTGGTAGAAAGAAAAAAAGAAAAAGAAAATGCAAATCTTTTCAAGGTCTAGAGGTCTCAGCAAATAGGTATTTAAAATTCTCATTTTCATTACGCATTCACATTTTATTTGTTAGCTTAGAATTGCCCTGCCAAATAGGGTTGCCGTATATTCGCCAAGCACTGTTACCTTTGAAGCATTCTCACGTAAGCAATCTCTTTTAGCAGGGCAGGATGCATTTCTGTCTGGGGCCCAGAGAAGTCCAACAATTCACCTAACACCCCATAGTAAAAGTGGCAGAACCTAGTAGGTACCAGAACCCAGATATGCCGAGGTCCAGCCCGGTGTCCCTCCTCTCCTTCTATAATAGAAAAGTCAGAGTGGTTCCCTGAAAATCACATCCTACTATCAACTGAAAATATTTCCCTTAACTGCAAAAGGAAAAAACAAAACAAAACACATATATTCACCAGTGGTTGAAGGTGATGGAAAGATGCATTGGTCCTGGAGCTCTGGACAGAGAGGGAGTTTCACAAACTCTTCCAACAAACGCCAGTTCCTACAATGAAAACATACAGAACATCTGGTTTGAATCAGGCACCTGCGGCCTCTCTCCACGGAGGCCATCCAAACACCCACTGCAAGGCACCCTGTTTGGACTTAAAGCGCCCCCCCACCCCCACCCTTCCAGCCCACTCCCTTCCCACTCTGACTTCCCAGGTAGAACAAGCATCTTCAGTTCACCAGCTGAAATGGTCCCACTTAGAATCACTGGATCTTGGGCAGAAAGAAGCATTAGAGATCATGTACAATGGGGATCATGAAGTAAAAGCCCAGTTAGTCACATCTAGCCTGCAGAGGTATTACACTGAGCTACAGGATATGTTTAGAAAACGTAAGCCAAACTGAAAAAACAGATGTCATAAAACCCAGATTTCTGGAACCAAAACCTCTGGCTTCTCTTAAAAAAACAACAGAGAATCTGTCAAAATGGCCCATATTCAGGTCTGAACGTGATCAGCTGCTTCTAAGCAGTAGCTGCCCTTCCTAGGCAAGCTTGGTGACCCAATACGCCACAGTCCCCACCACTCCCTACTGTCTCAACACAGAGAAGAAGTGTAATTACCACTGCCCTTGCATTATTGTTTTTCTTGGGGTACAGAAATATTTCCCTCTACCTATGATTTTAACAAAAATGGGGAAACAGAAGAAAAGGGGGTTGTGAGTTTCAAAGAAAAAAAATGGTAAAGCACATACAGAACTTTGGTAACCTCGCTCCTGTGGACATTTGCAATCCCTGAACAAGTACAGCACTCCCCATTTATTTATTGATTGACTGATTGATAGATTGATTGTTAATCCTCACCCGGGGATGTTTTTCCATTGATTTTTAGATAGACTGGAAGGGAAAGAGAAACATCAATGTGAGAGAGACACATTGACTGACTGCCTCCCGCACGACCCTGACCAGGGCCAGGGATGGAACCTGCAACTCAGGGAGGTGCCCTTGACCGGGAAGTGAATCCGCATCCTCTGGTCCACAGGCCAACACTCTCACTGCAGAGCGAAACCGGCCAAGGCAACGCTCCCATTCTATGGAAGTGGAAGCAGAAAACTGACTTGCCCACGTCCACAGTTAGGGGCAGAGCTAATTCTAGAATCTAGTCTCTTGACTGCCAATCCACGAGCTTTCACTATGCCCCACTGTGTACTAGTCTTACAGCACAAAGCAAAAAATAAATATTACACATACATATACGAGAGAGGCAGAGATCTGCGATGTCTCAAAAATAATACTAAAAGGAAATACAGTTGAAGTATCCAACCCACTTTATACTAAAATCCCCACCATACCTTCATTTGTCAACAAATATAAGAGTAAATTATATCAGGTTCCCTAACGGTTTGTTTCCCAATGTGACATTTTTCAATAATTCTGCTCTTTAAATACAAAAAAAAGTCTCAAAAATAAAATGCATCTACTACTTCAAAAATGTTCAGTTAATGTCCCAAACTGTCTCACATATAATCTTTATCTAGAAAAATTTCCCTTTACAAGGCTATAAATAAGCATATGTGCAAGGTGCTAGCATCGTAATAAATGAACAATGTTCAACTGTAAGACCTTGGTGGGAGTTATTTATACCAGCCCCTGAAAGAATGTATTGATTCATTCACTCAGCGGACATCGCTGAACCTTACTGCGCCAGGCAGTGAGCGAGGTGACTGAGACAGAGACGAGCAAGCCCCAGTCCTTGCCCTCATTGCTCTGTCCGGGTAGAAGACAGGTGCAGGCTCTCAGGGAGAATTTGAAAACAAGGGGTAAATGTGAAGATCTGGGCAGTGTGGGTTGTGGGAGCTCTGGGCAGCGGCCCCTGGTGCAGCTGGTGAACAGACGCTGCCCCCCGCGGAGAGGCCTGGGCAAGCCCTGCAGCGGGCATGGGAGTGGGCCGGCTGGCAGCAGGCTGAGGGCTGGGACCCCGCGGGCACAGCAAGGACTGCCAACAGCCCCTCCCGGGAGGCCGAGTCCAGGTCTCCATCACCTCGGGGGGCTTTAACCCCTGCCTTATGCCAAGTGTCCCAACACCTGCTGAGACTCGATGCGCAGCCCAGCACGTGCCTTCTTGGAAGTTTATCTCGCCAGGTGCCCTCACCCAGAGGGCCACCTGCTCCCTGGTAATGTCCACTTATGACTCCCTCCAGGTAACCAGTGCTGTCCAGTGTCTGCAGGGCTGAAGAAACAAGGTCTCTGAGAAGACAATCAACAGATTTTCTCCTGTGCCAGTCACAAGACGGTCCTGTCTCCACCTCAGGGCCTGGCTCTCCAGGGCCAGGATCTACTATGAAGTCAAAGCCTCAAGCCGGAGATTTTGTGAGAAAATGGCCCAGTACCTCTGCCCATCAAATCCCCAGGAGGAGTTCTCCTGATCTGGGCTGAGGCAAAGCTTGGGGGTGGGGTGGGGGGTGGAGACAGCGTACCCCAAGACAAGCTTTAGGAAAGGGGCGTAAAGAAGGGTGAAGACCAAATCTATGGCCGTGGTCAGGGCTCAGACCTCAGGGCCAGGCCAAGGAAACGAGAACAGCTTCCCCGCTCTCTGGGCGGTCTGCTCATTCTAAAAGAACTTTCTGGGCCCCAGACCCATCAAAGCAGAATCTTGGATTTGGAGGCCCGAGAATTACTCAGGTGATTCTGATGCCCCACTCCGGTACCCATTTGGAAAAGGATATCTTTCACCCAGGGGTCTCAGGGGCTCCCAAACAAGCTCCTGAAGCTCATTTTTCAGCAGCTTTGAGGCAGGATTCAAGGATCCAGGCTGCGTGGGAGTTAAATATTCTTAGTACATGTACTCACTCCCTACATCACATTATGACAACTATCACTTAACTCCTTTTTATTTTAAGTAAATAAAAATACATAAATGCCAGCAGCCAGGATAGAAACTAGGAAAGTGAAGGCAGCCCCCTCCTTGCTCCAGTCCCTTATACCATGACCCAAAGCCAGTGCCTCCAGACACGCCGCTCGGGTTGTGGCGTCTCAGCGCAGACATGAGCCCTCGCTCACCTGTGTGGACTCGTGCTGGCAGGACAGAGGGTCTGGGAGCATCCAGTCATCACAGTGGCCTTCGAGGAATAGCTCCAAGCTACACAGCCCTCCGAGCAGGTCCTTACTGCCCGAGAGCAGGACACTGCAGACCAGTGCAGAGCCCGGAAGCCCTCCGCGCCACCTGAGCACTGCTCTTCCCACATGTCCCCTCCGCGGCCAAGTAACAACCTGAGCAATCTCAAGCCAAGAATGGCAAAGTAAACGCTGTGTACTACGACGATGACAGAGCGAAGTAAGCTGGTTCCTCAAATGGACCAGCCTAGAGAAACTCATGGCTGACAAAGGTCCAACAGCAACGCACAGTGTCCTTCACTAGGACAAGAGTCCCCTTCAACTTGAGGATTCTTCACGTGAGTCATAACGCAAATTTGGAAGAGCATGGGTGGGAAGGAGGTCTAGGAAAAGCTCAAGATGCGAACTGGCCTCTTCTGGTGGTCCTCAGTTTTTAGGAGATCCATTATTCCCTACAGTACCACCATATCCTCACCTGAAACAAGACCTTTCTCTGACCCAGCCCTCCAGAAGAAATCACAGGAGTCGCTCCAGGCCCCTGCGTCCTTCAGCTGTATCGTCATCTCTACCCTCGCCAAAGAATCAAGAGCAATACAGGATGCTAGGAAAGTCACCCGGGGCACCTCCATTCCTCCCAAACACCAGTCCAGACCAGCCAACCAGCTCTGAACCAATGGGAGCCTCTCTGGTTACATATTCTCACAGCACCACGCATGTCTCCATCACGGCACGAAGCACTTACTCACGCTTGCCTTTTTGTCGTTTTAAGGGGTCTTTTGTTTGTTTGACTGGCTTCACTGGATCCCAATACACTGCCTTCAACCCTCCTGGTTGTTTCAAGAATATATCTCAAGTTTCATGTCTCTCAGCCCAAAGATGATCAAGCCAACCCATTTCCCAACTACTTTGTCTGGCCACTGGCCTCTGAACTCTAAGCGGCCACTAATTAGTCCACTAGTTTAGTGGACCTTAGAAGGACCCTGCTTAGGAAGCTAGTCTAGAATTGGAGAAAATTAACAACTGACCTTGAGAGGCTGACCAACTCAGGAAGGAAATAAATCAGAAAGAGTTATCTTTTTATTTCTTTTGTGCAGTGTTTTTTTCTTAAATCACACTACATTTATTATTTTTTAAGATAACTTTCTAATACAAGCAAAACAAACTATTTTTTTGACCTTGAAGAGCACGCCCCTATTTCCTAGAGCCAATCCCCCTGGAGCCATGCCCAGGGCCACATCCTTAGGGCGTGAACACCACCGAAGCTTCCAAGATGCTCAATGCCAAGGTGGCTCGAGCATCTCTCAACCCTGGTCCCATCGTCCAGCTGTCCTCCCTGCACACCCCTTGGCGGAGGAAAGTGGGTTTGGAGGAGCTCTTTAAAGTTCTCCCACCCACTCCGCAGATTCAGTAGGAGGGACAATGAATGTTTCCAAGTCCTCTAAATGACACAAACGCTCATAAAGTAGAATAAAATTAGTTTAAAAAATAGGAAAAGGATTTTCAGCTCCCCATTAAAAAAAAAAGCTCGCCTACTTTAAATGATTCACGGTGTCTTCATACTTTCTTCCTCCCCAAGCTGGTGGTTCCCTCCCTCCTCCCCTGAGCACCCCTCGCAGATGGCCAGCGGTTCCTTCGCCTCAAGGGCCTTGGCATTTGCTAGGCTTTCTGCCAGCAAAGCCCAACATTAAATTTTTCAAAACTTATTTTTTTTTTAAAAACCAAAGATGTTACCTTTTAAATATTCTGGATTTGTGGCTTCTCCTTAAAAATACCGAGCTTTGGCAACATCAGGCCTCAAGGACAGCATCTGGTGGAGCTGGGCAGCTCTTCCCCTAGATGGGCAAGGCTCTCAGGCTCCTCTCCCCCAACGCCAAGGTCAAGGGTCACATGCCATTATCATGGTGCCCGCCCTGCTTTGTCCTCAGGAAGAGAAATGTTTTCGATCAACAGCAGGGAAATGAAAGACCAAGAGGGTCCTGTGTGTCCAAAGGAAGGGGAGACAGCCACACATTCCTGGGGGTTTGATTTGTGACCTCCCGCCCTTCATTGCGTGTTACCTGCCTGACCTCTGAGGCTTGGACCCCTGGACTATAACTCTTTAGGAACAAGTTTCTTACTCTAAGTTAGCAAACACGCTTTAAAACAAAAACACTGGAAAAGAAAACAGCTGCAGTACACAGTATCCCATTCCCCCGTGAACATTTTGGTTCTTTGGTCTCACCTTTCCTGAGAATGTGGGATCCTGCTTGCAGCCACCAAAAGGAAGGTCCCACCCCTTATGCATGACCACATCCAGGTAAATAAACAGGACTTCTTTTTTCCATTGAAACTGTTGCTCTAGATGTAGGAGAGAGAAAAGGCCCCCAGGGTGCGCATTCCCCCACCTTTCCCATCACACCCCACCTCCACCCCCACAGAACGTGCTTGGAATGCAAGTGCCCAGAAAAGGGGGCGGGCAAAGGCAGAGAACCCAGGGAACTTGCCCAGCCAGTGTTTTTAGTGCAGTTGTTTCCAATCAGGCTACACAGAAGAATCACCTGGGCTCCAGACTGATGGAGAAATTTTAATAGCCTCCTCCTCAGGTGACACCCTGCATACTGCCCAGCACTGACCTATTCATCCCATGGCATTTGGGAACAATTCATTTAAAAAATGGTGACCCCTAGCACCCTTGGCAGCCAGGCAGGACGTGCCTCTCCAGTCAGATACCGCAGCTGTACTGTCCTGCAAGTCGCCACGAGCCACATGTGGCCGCCGAGTCCTTGAAATGTGGCCAGGGTGACTCCCGACGTACTGTGATGATAACACACACTGGCGTGAAAAAAAAAAGAATGTGAAGTTTCTCAATGATAGTTCCTATTACTGATTATACACTGAAATGATATTTTGGATATACTGGGTTAAAGAAAATAGGTACTTAAAGTTCATTTCACTTGTTTCCTTTTACTTTTTATTTATTTATTTATTTATTTAATCCTCATCTGAGGACATTTTTCCTTTTTTGTTGTTGTTGTTCAGATACAGTGGGAGGGAGAGAGAGAAACATCGACGTGAAACGGACACATCAAGTGGCTGCCACCCGCACGACCCAACCAGGGCCGGGGACAAACTGCAACCGAGGTACGTGCCCTTAGCAGGAACCGAACCCGGGTCTCTCTGGACCGCAGGCCGACGCTCTAACCGCTGAGCCAAACCGGCCAGGGCATCCTTTTTCCTTTTAATGTGGCTACTAGAAAATTTTCAATTCCACACGTGGCTGACGCCGTGTTTCTACTGCACAGCCGCACCGGAGGAGACACTCACATTCTAGCATGGGGGTTAGAATCGTAATGGAAAAAATGAGAACTTGGTCGAGCCTGGTCTCCACCTACCGCCTGCGGGATCCTGAGCGCGTTATCGATCGCCGGGTGTCCATTTCCTGGCCTGCGCATGAGCATGGTAACAAAGGTGGGCAGGCATATAAAAGGAACCTGAAGCACTGGGCACGCGTCTTCCTATGGCTGTACTCAACACCTGCGCCTTCTGCCTTCGTCCTTCCCTGGCGTCCTTAAGACCACAAAGTCTGAACCCGAGGTCTCCTGGCATCTAGTATACTAAGCACAACGCCCAGTTTGCCCGGTAACTGCAGATGGCACTGTGGCTCTCCATCCAGAGGGCACAAAGGAACCTGGGAGCACTGAGCTCCCCGCCCCTGCCGCTGCTCTGACTCTGTCCACGTGGAGCGGATCCTGGTACGCACACTACTCAAGACATGGGGCGTTCTGATGCTCATGGTCTGGGGGTCCCTCTGAGAGACACTGAGGAACTGTGACCAAACTGTCAGGGCTGCGTCTGGGCTTCCCCAGCCCACAGACAGGCCAGCCTGAAACAAGGCAGGTGTGGTCCAAGGAGAGGCCAGAAACTGACCCGGGTGTCCCCCAGCAGAGGGCTGCTTTCCTGACATCTTTTATTCTTATTTTTTCTTTATTGATTATTTTTTAGAGAGAGAAGAAGGGAGAGGGAGAGAGAGAAATATCGACGAGAGAGAACATCGATTGGCCGCCTCCTGCATGCCCCCACTGGGAATTAAGCCCACAACCTGGGCATGTGCCCTGACCAGGAAGCAAACCTGCGACCTCTTGGTGCATGGGTCAACGCTCAATCACTGAGCCACACCGGCCAGGCTCCTGACATCTTTTAAACTTAGGTGGGAAATGACTGTCTGCCCTAAGCATTGGTTCAAACACCTACTGCCATCACACAAGGCCCTTAAGAGGATTAAAAATATGGACAATTTCAAGATGCCCAATAGCTTGGCAACTGGGTTTAAAACGCTGAGCGGTGTAGCATCCCCACCAGCAACATATGAGAAGGACAGGACAGGTACACTTTCTGCCCTTGCCTGGGACCCAGAAGCACCAGCTCTGGCCTGAACTCTTTGGATGTCAGGCCAACCTTCAGGCTCTTCTGCAGAAGGGTTTCTCCTGCTCTCCCAGGAGCCCAGAAAGGGGCCGGGACTTCCACGCACAGACCTGCCAGTCCCGGCGCCTGTGTATTCCGGGGCTTTCGGCCGCTGGAAGAGGTCGTTCCCTGACCGGGAGTGCCGGACTGTGTGTGCCGACTGACGGAGCACACAGCTGGATCAACCCCAGGAGGCCCACCGGCAGGAAAACGCACTCTCCTTATTTAAACCAGCCACCGCTCCTTTCCTGTTGAAATCCCCTCGGTGCTAAGCTGTTCCTTCTCAAAGCAGGACCACAGAGCAATTTCTCGGAGAACATATAAATATCCTTCTCCAGCAATATTTTGGTAAAATATGGCCAAGAGACTCAACCTTTTCCTGCTTCTTAGGGCAAATTTGTTCTCTTTGGGAAAAAATACAATGTGAACGAATCGCTACATTCTCCCGAAGTATGAGCTGCCTCGGATCTCCTTGGAGAGGGCACACAGGGACTAGGCACTGACCTGAAAACTCGGACATCTTTATTTTTAATGCAGGAAAATGATCCAGGGGTGTGCAGAGTATAGTAACACAACCTACACTCTGACTCTGGACCCCACACCGCAGTTTCCCCCACATCACCCACCCTCGGAGTCTGCTTCTCATTCCTCCACCCCCACCCACCTCCGTCTCCCAGACAGAATACACGGTAACATGAACATAACTGTGTCTCCAGGTAGTCACGCAAGCAAACAATCCAGCCCACACATAATAAAAAGCAATTCAAAGTGAGAGCAGATCTTGTTGAACACCAGCGGGAGGGAATTAAACCCTCAATGCATGGGAACTGTCTTTAAAGTCCTTCTTCCTTCCCACCACCGATACCCCCCACAGACAGCAGCTGTTCTAGAAACTCTCCTCTCCGCTCCATCTCCCCACTCCCCACTCCCCACCCCCCTGCTCATCAATGCGCTTTCCTTTCCGGTACCACCCTTCCATCTTCTCTCACAAGTCCTGGGCCTTTTCAGGTGTAAAGAAAGCCCCTCCTTACACACACACACACACACACACACACACGCACGCACGTGTGCTGACCAACCCCAACTCCTGGTCCCCCAACTCGGCCTCTCCTCATTGCCCTGACACTGTATGAAAAATGCCCAGGAACTGAGTTACCATGAGAACATTTCCTTAGAAGGTAGGGTAACTGGGAAAGCTGAGGAACAGGCAACGAAACTGGCAGACAGAGAGAGCCCATGGACACTCACAATGGCGAGTGGCAAGCTGTAGTGAGCACGAAGCTAATGCTCAGTGTTGCTAAATGTCACCGCCCTGAACACCCGACCCAGACCCAGAAAAGATGCTCTTTACATCCAAGTTAGACCTCTGCTGCAGAGAGAACCCCGGCAGTAATACACCGTACCACCTGGGCTTCCAGAAACTTCCGGTCACACACGGGCTGAGTATATCCACCACTACTTGAATGGGGAGACTAGCATGTGGAGAGGGGTGTTTCCCAGGTGGGTCTCTGACTACAGAAGTTACAATGACCTGACTGTGTGAACTGCCGAGCCCCAGAAAGAACTGCTCAGGTGGCTCTGCCTGTACGGATGGCTTTGCCCCTTCACCCAGCACGCTGGAGTCGGCGGGGGAGGCGCGAGGAGGAAGAGGGAGAGTGTGGGGGGAATGACCAGCACGTGATGGAGAGCGGACCTGGCTGTGAAGGGCAGTGAGAGGAGCGATAAGGGACAGCCACGCGGCACAGCCAAAGTTCTGGCTCTGCCCCGGCTTAGCTGTGGGGTCCTGGTCAAGTTCCTACACCTCTCTGAGCCTGTTTCCATTCCTAGGGGAGCAGGGTCCTTTCCAGCACTGACGTGGCTCCGTGATATTAAGGGCACCTGCTGTGGGGATCATGGACAAACAGGTGCGCAAGAGAAAGGCAGAGACAGAGGAGGGTAAACGCTATTCCAAAATCGTATTTATTATGACCCCTGGTTGTTGCTCTAGGAATACACTCGCTGTACCTTCCAAAGCTGCAGTTGTCAGAGTGGTAAGTGGTCACAGGTAAGTTTCTGGGCCCATTAATCTTAAAAGCAGAACACTGTGCACAGTGTGCCTGGAGCAGGCCATTGGCGTATGAGCTGCACTGAAGACACGCAGAGTCTTCCTCACAGTGGTGAGACCCTCCTCGCCCTACGAAGGCTGGAGTTCACACGCCCTGGTTTGCAGACGAGCAGACAGGCTAGAGAGTGAGTGACTCCCCGAGTCACACAGCTTGGAGAGGCTGACCCAGGAGAGAAGCCCAGATTGTCTGACTCCCCACCTACCGTTAAATGCCAATTCAATCACTGTGTGGGATCCATGCAAAGCTTGGACACTCAGAAACCCCACGCAGATGCACAGAACTGATCCAAGAGGACGCGGGAGGATTCTGCAAAGAGGAGCCAAGCGCAGCCTGTCCTTCCTCCCACCGCCTTGACTAGCAGGTTGATCACCAGCTCTGGGGGGTGGTGTCCACCTGCTACCCTCTTACATGTACCAATTTCCCTTTCTAAGCAATGCAGGTGATGGCCTGTACTCTAAAACTGAGGTACTCTAGATCCTGGGGTCCAAGTGAAATATATGCAAAGACCATACACCACTTTCTAAATGTGTATCCCCAAGGAAGTCATTACCATCTCAATGTCTCAGGTTCCTCATCTGTAAAAGACGGTTAACAACAGTTCGTGCACCTCAAAGGGCTGTGACCAGGATTAAAAGAGGTACTACATGTAAGTGCTTAGCACAATGCCTACAACATAAATGTTGGATATGATCACTATGACTTTTCTGGGAAAGAGTCCAAAGCTTTCATCAGATTCTCAAAGGGTCTGTGACCCAATAAAAATCAAGAGCCCCTGTTCTACATGCTCCGAATGGAACTAAGGTCATTCTGTGGGAAGGGAAGTACCTCCTCCAGCATCGTCACCTTTCCAGAAGAAAGGGATTTGAGGCTTCCTATGCCTCCAACTCTCAGGGGCATAAGAAAAAGAACTCTGATGACCTGTGCTAGAGGCACGGAGCAGTCGCTTCTGTGGCTGGGAAAGCCCCCATCTAAAAGTGGAGAATTAGGAAAGAGAGGACCAAGCCCGCCTCCAGTCCCCACACGCTCGGGAATGACCCCCCCCCCCCGGTCTGTCGGGGTGCGGCAGAGGAGCTTTTGGCACTGTGGCCTTCATTCCAGGAGTCTGGCCACTGTTCCTGGACCTCCCGCTGAGGAACTCAGCAAAGAGAGTCAGCTCACTGCAGACACACGAGATGTGCTGGAATGTGAGAAAGACCAGAAGCTGAGGTCCTGTCTGGAAAGAGCTGATCGAGGAGGACAGGACAAAGAGAAAGGTATGAAAGATGT